GCGGCAGCCTGTTGGTTGCCGCGCTTTGATGCTCGTTCTTGGATGGCTTCAGCATGCTCTCTACCCTTTTCGCGGAGCTGATCTTCATCAGCAACTACAGAGGACAACTTACTGCCAGCTGCCTTCGTGGTACCCTTCTTTAACAGCCAGGAGGTTAGCAGTATCCCGCGGTTGTGCTTCTGCCGGTGCTGCCTTACTACCCTCTTTTCCCCGCGGACGTGGATTATGCGGTCTACAAGCATGAGACTGCAACGAGCCACGGCCAGGCCCGAGTCGGCACGGCCGTAGATGTTGGAGTTTAGGGCTGAGGACCTCGAGAGTGGTGTCCTCTGTATGTAATTCGACCAAGCGGAGTCGATTGCCGTGGAGAACAAGGCATGAGTCGTCGATGTTCATGGTGAAACAGGATGCGCCGCATCGCTTATCTTGAAAGATGTGTCGACGAACTATTTTTTTTTTTCGTTTTTTTTTTCTTTCGGTTGGTCTCGCCGAAACAGTTCTAGAACCGGTCTCCCTTTTCCCTACCGACAGAAACTCCAACATCTACAGCATTCTCCCCCATTCGCCGGAAGGCCCCAAAGGTAGACGGCATGGGTCTGGCGGGAAACTGCGCCAGCCTCATCGGTCCATCGGTGTCACCGCGACGGCGGGGTCGGAAAACAAGTATTATACATAGTCTACTCCAACACAGACCACGCGTTCGAGATACTACATATTCCCACAGTCGAACGGGATGTATTTCAAGTCTGCACAGATTGCCTTTGCTTTTTCGCATTGGATATTTTGCCAACTGTCGCGCGTGTGTGCATTAGAACCATAAAGGCAGGCCATGCATGTGCGGACCCGGCATGCATGTCTTCCCCCAATCGTCCAGCGAGAATCTCGACAATCGCATATATGCATACCCAACCAAGTCGAAAATCAAAATCCATTTCCATATCTCACGTGGGCCGTCACCAACGCCGGTTGAATACCGCCTGCTGTGGCCCTGTGTTGCGCCGGTCAAGTTGCTGGGCACAGATTAAATCAGTCATTCTGTGCTTGAAACAGCGCCGATCCCTCTGAAAAGCGCTGGTCGATTGGCCAGGCACATGCTACCGGCGTTACATTGAGGGCCCATTCACAAGGTTAGTTCCACTGTACCGTGAAGTCGGAGGACGGCCGCAGCCCCCCCTTGAGCAGCACTTCGTCAATTCCACTTGCGAGGAAGTTGGGGGGGTGTCAGCATGCTATGTGGAGGGCCCCCAACTTGCTGAACGAACCAAAAGCACATACGCAACCCACACGCTATGTCCTTTGTTTTGAAGCAAGGAGGCCAAGAGAGAAACCACGCGGCGGCAAAAAAAGCCACTTATTGCTGGGTAGGCGTCGTCGCTCGAGCAACCGAAACGAGCCCATGCGCCAGGTTTTCGTATGATGGCATGGATGTTTTTTCATTTTTTACTGCGTTTCGGCGTGGTGTCTTCGTGGAGCCATCCATGTAACCCTCGGAAGGTCGAGCCCGGCTTTCCTCTCTGCCAGAGGGGAACTACCATGCAAAACAGAAAGTGAGCCCCGTGGAAACTCATTTCACGACAAACACAAATGAACGGCAAAAAAATCAACAAAGTAAGTTATACTGGGGATCTCCCGCGAACGAGATATTAAATGT